ACTTGAGAATGTGAAGCAACTTGAGGTAATGTGAAGCAACTTGAGATAATGTGAAGCGACTTGAGGAACCTTGAGATAATGTGATATAACAGGAAGTGATATGAGATGAATGGAGGTGACAGGAGGTGATCCGTCATCCCATCTATCGGACAGTATTTCTTTTTCGGTCTTGGTGTGTGGGGTCCTGATGCAGAGCATTTGCGGGGCAGCAATGCAGCCGGGAGGAGAAGCCGACGTTCGGACTCTTACCATGACACGAGTCCCTGAGAACCCAGATGTCCTCGAAGGGACACCCGGACTGAGACCGGCGGCTCGGAGACAAACCTATCAGACACAAAGACTCTGATGGACTCGGTTCTGTCGAGGAGGGGAGGCCTGACTGAGGAGGTGAGTCGTGTTAAGGTCACATGTTAGGGAGGATCTTTGGTTTGACTGAGATATAAAGACCTTTGATCTTCATGCAGTTTAGTGAGAATCCTCCTGGTGAAGTGTTGGAGTTAAGAACACATCTGTGCAGATCAGTTACCTGTTTTTATTTCACAGACAGTAAATTTCCTGGCTGACTAACACCTTCACGTAGTGGAAACAGATATTACCCCTCTTAATATTGATGTTTATTTCCTAAAATCAAACCACAGGCCTGGTCACACCAGAAAGCAAAATCCATCTGCATGTCTTTACAAAATATTTGATCTCAAAGTTTTTGACTTCTTACTGGACACTTCCAGAAAACTTCAAAACTGACCGGTGCTGCTCTTAATGAAGATAGATTCAGTAACTTATTTCTCGCTTTAGATGTTTTAAGAAACACGTTTTGATGAACCGTTTCCGTAATCTAAGCGCCTCATTTCCACATAGCTCTGTGTTCATTTATGAATCAACCTGAACTCCATTTGTTCCTATGAGAAGCTCAGTGATCTATGTCTCTGTGAAAGTCTTCTTTAGGTTTATTTCCAGTCTGGATTCTGTCTTGAATGCGCTGAAAATGTTTTAACTTTTGCGGTAGATTACAAAGAAACCGGACGATGTGAATAAATGAATTAGCTAGCAGGCTAACAGGATATTGAGTTGTTTGACTGTATTGGCAGTCAAATCGTGTAAATGTGAAACCGCAAAAAACAGTAATTTAGCTAGTTCAACAGAGCAGTGTAACATACAGCAAACGCAGACACTGATGTGGTTCATACGCCCGGCAACTAAATATTTCACTAAACTACGTGGAAACAAGGTGTGACTCAGCATAATGGTACCCGTCTACTGGACCTGTTGCTACAGCATTGGTCATTAATCGTTAGTTTTGCATTGCGTTTTAAGTGACGGGGCATCACGCTGCCTGCTCCTCATTTTAACAAATTTGAGGTCTCGGCTACTTTATGCAAATCGGGGAAAAAAAACATAAGGAGGAGTTTTGCAGACACACCAGAGGTCATGGAGGTTCCCTTAGGAATAAATGGAGTTCCGGTTGATTCATATATGAAAATGAAACAAGTCGATTAGTAGTACACTTAGAAAACAAGACGTCAACTTCATGCAAATGAGAAGCGGGTAACACAACACCCAGTCTTCAAAAACACGTTGCGACGCCATCAGAGTGGACTCCACAGCCGCTTACGTAGACAATAGATGGGTGGCGTTGACATGATGGACCCAGTAGACACAACATTACCGTCAATCACATCTTGTTTTCACACATTTTTAGCCTGTTAGCTAAATCATTTTTTCAACGCCCACTGCAAAAGTTTTTCAACATACTCTAGGCAAATTCTGAACCACCAAAAAAAGTAAGGAGGAGTTTCACAGACATGGCCGACATCATGGAGGTTCTCATAAGAATGAATGGAGTTCTGGTCGATCAGTATACGAAAACAAAACGAATCTCTTACATTGCGAGAACAGTTTGAGGAGTTCGAGGCGTTGCGTGGCGGCCAGACGCCCCTGATTTGCATAAAGTAGCCAAGACCTCAAATTTATGCGATTGATGACCAGGCAGTAGATGCCCAGTCTTTCATGATGCTCTCTTACACAGACAATAAATGGGCGGCGTTGATCCAGTGGACACGAACCATTACATTGACTCAGTCTGCAGGTGTTAGTGTTACCAGAGTGTGTTATACCTGAGCAGGTAGTGAGGCCGTTGGCAAGCGGCAGCACCACATGGGTGGGGGGGGCGTACAGGGTGTAGGAGTCGTCAGTCTGAGGGGCGGAGCTGAGGCTGGAGGTCAGGGGGGCTCTGGAGGGCAGCTGCTGGCGCTGGGAGGGCAGGGAGGCGTGCCGGGACAGGGTGCCCCCTACAGGGCGAGATGGGGAGCAGCAGGAGGAGCAGCAGGTTATCAGGCTGGAGGTTAGAGGTGGAGGTCAGTGGTTATGTGGTTTGGATGTTTGGATGGATGGATGGATGGATGGATGGATGCAGGGAGGAGCAGAAGGAGCGTGGGATGGACTGAAGGCAGGGTTCGGGTTAGTCTGAACTACTGAGGAGTAAAATAAATCGAACAGGCGACACGTAGAGACGACGTCCAGAACTTAAAACTAAAGCATCAGTCGGAGATATTCTGTGGTTTCTTTCTGCTTCACACTTGATGCAACAAGAATTCATGTGTTTCGCCAAAACTACTAAGAAGACAGTGACAGCTTTTCTCATTTCAGGAGCTGCATCAAAAACATAGAAGGATTATTCAATGTAACCTGTAATGTGACCTCCTCAGAATCGGCCGGTTGTTTATCAGTGTATTTAATGAAGCCATGCAAAGGTTTACCTTCATGCTATGAATATTTTCAGAGTTACAGGCTCCTGAAGTCCTACAGGTGGCTCCAAATTTCACACTTTTTAATGGACTTTTTTCATCATTTCTGACCCAAAATCTACACTCATTACTTTAAAAAGAGACACGTGAAATTCGACAGCTAAACTGTTGCACTAATCTTCAACTAAAAACCATTTTCATACTCATCTTTAAACATCTAAACGTCTGTTGGTCTCTGCTTTTGTAGTACTGTGGTGTTGAAAGCGGCACATTAAAAACCAGAAAAAACTGTGAAACCATCACATCTACGCAGCAGATTTTGATGAGCACTTCATCCAGGACTCTGTGGAGGTCAAAGTGGATCCTGGTGGGGCAACATCAGAATGGAAAAGATTCATCGGCTGTTTTTTTACAAACTGACCGTTCCTCCGGCTGATGACCTCCACGATGGACGGAGGGAAGAAGCCGACTCGGTCCATCCCTCTCTGGCTGTCGTGGATGTGGCCCTTCCAGCGTCCGTCCATGTGCTGCTCCATCACCTGCAGGGGGCGACACATCAGGGGTTTGAATCTCCAGTCGAATGTTATAGACAAATAAAAGTCAAAGATTTAGTTCAGGTTTTACCAACAGAAGAGCTGAAATGTGGATTTTATAGCTGCAACCAACAATTATTCTCTCACTTAAACTGAGTTTGTGATTGTTTGTTTAGTTGATAAAACTCACAGCCAACAGTCTTTGATAATCAATCAATAGTCTGATGTGATAAAACCACACATTGTCTGTATTCGATTAATCAAATTTAGCTGATTAAGGGTCAAGAGGATGCTGCTAATAACTGATTCATGACAAAGTTTTCTATTTGCTAACTGTTAGTTAATAATTTGGGTAATTTTTTTTTAAGGCAAAATATCTCATTTTTACTGATTCCAACTTTTAAAATGTAAAAAAAAGGGTTTTTTTTTACTCCTCTGTGACAATAAAATGAAGATTTTTGAAAATGCTGACAGCTTCTTCACACTTTTCTGACAATTAAAAGACCAAAATACTGAGAATATATGGCTAGTTCCCCTGTTTCACATTTAGAATCCCTGTAGGAACATTTAATAAATGGTTTACGGCAATAACATGTAGCTTTTAATGTGTATTATTGTTCAGCATTTCTACACAACCTGCAGCCCGAACAGGAGCCAAGCAGCAGAAGAGCTGAAATATGATTATTTTCACACTTTAATCAGCGGATTATTTTCTGAATTGGATATTTGTTTGCTCGATGAAACTCACGGTTTACGTTGTAGGAATTTAACCTTTTCTTTTATGAAGACGTGCAGATGTTGTGCTCTTTTGTTGCACATTATTATTTGCACTGCAATCCACACAGGATTTCTCTATGTTGCTTTGTCCATTTTATTGTTTATTTATCTGTATTTACGGTGGCGGTAACTCTATCTTTATACTGTAACAACAAAACTTCCCCTTGGGGATTAATAAAGTATGTCTATTCTATTCTATTCTATTCTATTCTATGTACTGATAATCAATTCATCGTATTAAGTAATAAAAACCTGCATTCTTCTGTGAATTAACTGTTTGAATAATCACATATTAATAATAATTCCAACTAATTTCAGTATTAAAGACAAAATATGAAATCGCTCCAAATTCTAAATGTTAAAGTAAGTTTTTGAAGTCTTTTTGAAGTTGTTTAGATAAATCGAGACACCTGATGAGCTTTTTTTTTTATTATTTAGCCAAAATACTGAGAAAATATTAATTCATTTCCTTATCTGACACTGATGAACAGCATATAAACATGTATATATCCTGTATATTATATTAAATAAAGTCATAAAACAAATCAAATCAGATCATTACACCGTGTATTTGGTCATGATGATGTCTCAGTATCATAATTAGTAATGAACGTTTGGGTTTTTCCGCTGTTTCTCAAGAGAAGAACTCTGTAAATCTTCAGACGTGTGTCACGTTTAATATTTAATGCGAGTCTCAACAGGAAGCCACAATGATTCACTGCTGATTTACAATCTGTGGTTACTGTAACTGTGGCTCGCGCTTCATGCAACACCGAGTTACATTTCACTTTCAACACAAGTCTGAACTGCACCGTCGTACTGATGGATGAACACGCACACAAGCAACAGTCCTGAGAGTTAAAGACACAGTTTAACACAGAAAAGCATTTCGTATTCACTTCTGGCATCTTAAATAGTTTAGAACCTGAAAAAATGTACTTTTCTGTGATGAAGGTCAGATTAATTTAACTTAGTTTGTTGCTTCCAGCCGTTGTAGGAGTTTATCCTCCTATAAACGTTTGTTAAATTTCTGCAGCATCAAACAGCAGCAGGAGAGACAAACTGCACATATTTACACACAACTGTAGGGAGTGTATTGTGCTTGTTTTGCGTCTCTTTGCAGTCATTCTGTATCTCTGTGGTTGTTTTGTGTCTCTATGCAGATGTTTTATTATTCAGATGATTATCGGTGAGTCCTATTGAAAGGTTCTCTGCACAAATAAATACAGGACAGGGCTCTGTTGGAGGTTCAGCTGCATCTGAACTGAGGTGTAGTTCATAATGTCTTTAACCTTGTATAACAGCAGAGATCAGCTGCCGTACAGAGTCTAAAAGTCAGCAAAATTAACCCTCAAACTGAGGCCTTTCTTCCAAATTACTATTTTGTTATTGTTATTTCCATGAAACCAAAATGTAAATGTGTTCTGGTCCTCGTTCACAGACAGAACAGTCTGATCTCTCACCATGATGACGTCTCCGGCTCGGATGTTGAGGGCGGTCGGATCGTGGAGGTTCCAGTAGTCCTTCAGAGCTCTGACCTGCAAAACACCTGTCGCATCTGTCCAGGAAACAGAAACAGGACTAATGTGAGCCCAAACCATAGATAGATAGATAGATAGATAGATAGATAGATAGATAGAT